GACAGAGTGAGACTCCAACTCCAAAAAAAAAAAAAAAGAAAGAAAGAAAACCAGGCTCGGGAGGGCAAGCGAGCTCCCCCCCCCCCGAAGCATGGCAAAGCTGGGGTGTGGAATTAAAACACTCCAGTCTCCCAGGGGTAGTTTCTGTATCAGAAACTGCGCTCCAATGTGGGGTCAGGCAACAGGGTATGTGCCTCTCCTATCAGACCACAAAGTCCATATTGTCTCTCGCCCTCTGAAACAGAAAAGTTGGGGTCCCCCAGCCCAACCACCATCTTACTTTTGCTAGGCAGCTCCTCTTGGCCCAGGCCATTGGAGGGAGCCAGTGGGGCGCTGCCACCCTCGTCCAAGGTCAGGATGAGGGGCACGTCGTCATCCAAACTCACAGCCATGTTCTCCTCTTTGGCAGCCCTCAAGATGCGATGTCCAGGGCTTTAGATAGTCTCTGGTTTGAATTCCCTTTCAAAGCCACTGGGCCAGAGGTGCTTCTCAGAAACTCCTCCATCAGAGGCATCTTCTAGGGTTTGGGGGATTAAAAAAAATAAAGACAATTATTATTATTTTATTTTTTGTAGAGACAAGGTCTTGCTGTGATGCCCAAGCTGATCTCTAACTCCTGGATTCAAGTGATCCTCCCACCTCAGCCTCCTGAAGTGCCGGGACTACAGGCATGCACCACCATGCCTGACCTAGACAATTATTAAAACATAACCATTGCTTGATGAGTATGTTATGAATTAGACAGTGGTGATGACTGCATAACCTTGTGAATATATTAAAAACCACTGAGTTATACTCTTTAAAATGGTGAATTATATCTTAATTTTTTTTGGTTTATTTTTTTTAAGTTGGAGTCTCACTCTGTCGCCCAGACTGGAGTGCAGTGGCTCCCGGTCACTGCAACCTCGACCTGCTGGGCTCCAGCAATCCTTCCACCTCAGCCTTCCAAATAGCTGGAATTACAGGCATGCGCTACCATGCCTGGCTGATTTGATTTATTGTAGAGATGAGGTCTTGCCAAGTTGCCCAGGCGGGTCTCAAACCCACGGGCTCAGACAGTCCACTCACCTCAGCCTCTCAAAGCGCGGGATTACAGGCTGAGCCACTGAGCCCAGTTTTAATTTTTTTTTTGAGTCAGAGTTTCACTCTGTCGCCCAGGTTGGAGTGCAGTGGCATGCTTACGGCCACCCCAGCGTCGACCCACTGGGCTCGGGTGATCCTTCTGCCTCAGCCCTCCAAGAAGCTAAAACTACAGGCATGCGCCACCACATCTGGCTAATTTTTTTTTTTTTAATAAATATTGTAGAGACGAGGTCTCATCAAGTTGCCCAGGCTGGTCTCAAACCCCTGAGCTTAGGCAATCCTCTCGCCTCAGCCTCCCAAAGTGCTGGGATTACAGGCTTGAGCCACTGCACCTAGCCTATATCCTATTTTTAAAAAAGATTTTGTTAGTGTATAATAGCATTAAAATATGTGGGGAAAACACTGCAGGAAAAAATACTAAAAAGTTAGAGTAATTATATCTAGAGAGAGAGAGCAGGGCTAGTATGTTCCACCTCCCTCTCTTTACATTTATTTGTAAGTTTTGTAAACATTTTAAAGACAAAAAGAATAGGCCAGACATGATGGCTCATGGCCAGTAATCCCAACGCTTTGGAAGGCTGAAGCAGGAGGATCACCTGAGGCCAAGAGTTCAAGACCAGCTTGGTTAACATAGCAAAACCCTGCCTCTACAAAATAAAATAGCTTGGCAGGGTGGCATGCACCTGTGGTCCCAGCTACTTGGGAGGCAGAGGCAGGAGGATCGCTTGAGCCCAGGAGTTTGAGCATACAGTGAACTATAATCACACCACTGCCTGGGTGACAGAACAAAATCTTGTCTCTAGTTTAAAAAAAAAAAAAAAAGGCAGCCATTAAAATAGTAGTTAACACTCAGTGAGTGCTTACTATGTACCAGGGACCCTACTAACACCTTATAAGTAAAAGGTGATTGAAACTTCCTAATAGCTCTGTGAGACAGGTTGGCTTATTATTCCTGTACAGAAGGCAATTGCCCAAGAACCCACAGCAAGAAAGCAGAGCTCTGAACTATGCATTTGACTCCAAACTCACGTTCCTGACCATTACACGACAATTCCTCTAAGTCTGGGTCCTGTGTGTCCTGTGTTTAGGCAGCACTCAGTCTCAATGATGAGTAAAGGGTTAGCACACCAGGGGATCTCTATATTAGCCTCTGTATTTTTTTTTTTTTTTTTTGAGTCAGAGTCTCACTCTGTCATGTAGGCTGGAGTTTAGTGGCACAATCACAGCTCACCTCAGCCTTGACCTCCTGGGCTCAAGAGATCCTTTTGCCTCAGCCTCCCAAGTAGCTGGGACTATAGGTGTGTGCCACCATGCTGGCTAATTTTCTGTAGAGATGAGGGCTCCCTATGCTATCTAGTCTGGTCTCGAACACCTGGCCTCAAACAATCCTCTCACCTCAGTCTCCCAAAGTGCTGAGATTACAGGTGTGAGCCATCACGCCCGGTCTTTTTTTCAACATCTTTTACTTCAGCCTTACTAAAAAGCCTCTTAGGAGTAGTTAGACACACATCCCAAGATCATTCTGGACTTTGTTGGTAAACAATACATATCCTTATATAGACACTGTTCTCCTAAACATAGGTGTTTGAGAAAGGAAAAAGGAGGTTTATTTATTTATTTCTTTTATTTTTTATTTTTTTGAGTTGGAGTCTCACTCAGTCACCCAGACTGGAGTGCAGTGGCCGCTCCCGGCCACCACAGCCT